CAGAAGTAGGGGTGGCAACTATATAAGAATGTAGGACATCACGAAAGTACCGTAAATACCGAGTAAAAAGGTGTTGTGGTGATATTGTTGGTTGTGTTTGCGTAACACTGTCGTCATCATCCCCCCGACCAACCCACCCCCCCAGAAGCAAGTACAAAATCAAGAGGCGAGTTTGCAAACTCGGCAAGTCGATTTTGAGGCTTTTTATGATGACCGTACATGACGAAAGTGCTGTAATACCGAGTAAAACGGATGTGCTCTTAAGATGGTTTTGAGCAAGTGCAGTTGGTAGGTGGAGGGCGCTTACTACTACTACTACTACTACTACTACTACTACTTCTACTACTACTACTACTACTGCTACTACTACTACTACTACTACTACTACTACTACTGCTCCTTCTAGCACCAGGACGACCACGACTACTACTGCTACTCCTCTGGCTACTACTTCTGTCATTGTCATCAACAGGTGTATGGTGCATGTACATGTGGTTTGAGATTGGATCTTTCTCGAACCCGGTGGACCAAGGTACGCAGGCGAACTCGGATGCCGAGCAGAAGATCTCGGAGAGGCCGCCGGTAACTCCTTGTTACTATGAAGTTCCTGCAGGTGTTGTTACTGCTATGATGCTTACTATCGTTACTGTAATCATGATTGGTATCGGCATATTTGTTCATCTCGCTCTGTACGGATGTACACACCGGTGAGAACTCTACATGGAACTGCGATCATACTAAGAACACATGGTTTTTGACAGACCTCGCGGGCTTATGCTTAAGTGCTTAGCATTCAATATTTGAGGATTGTTCATCTACTTTGACGTGTCGTCGAGAGAATCCGATCCTTGCATGGCTGCCAGTTTGACTTTGCAAAAACCTTGCTGGTGGCCAATGTGTTGGCGCTTTCGCGGATTCCAAGTCGATGAGCAACGTCAGAAGCAACAAGGTGTCGGTGAATGTGGGCGTTTTGGAAATGGTCGCCAGCCAAAGACCAAAATTCGGTTCTTCCAGTACCCGTGGTGCTCTGCCAGTGCTACCTCACATTGTACTAGAGCTAGTGTTAGCAGTTAGCACTTGTTTTCTTCCAGCAATCGTAGACTGTACTACGAATATCGATGATCAGACCAAGGCAGGGCCCAATTGTCAAGTGCATGCCAACACGTCTCAAAAATGCCGGTCAAGCCCTAAAGCATGAATTCCTGCGACCCTCAAGCATCAACCCTAAAACCCTTTGAACCCGAAGCTCTTTGGGGGTTTAGGTTTGACGAGGACGAAAGCGTTTTTGTTTCAGGGTTGCTACCGGGCGGTACAAGGCGGGTTGTCATAGGGCTCTTCGCGAGTTTGGTATGGGCTGTTGATAGGATTGCAGGAAGGGCTCTTATAGGGTTCCTGCAGGGCTTAAAGCTGCTCTTATGTTGTCGTGTAAATTTACGTGTTCGCCAGGCCGGTTGTGTTTCTGTTTCGGGCGGGAGGGTGTCGAGTGTTGAGTTCAAGGCCAAGATGTCGGCATCCAGTTCTTTCCGCTCTCACAAACAAGGCTCACAGATGCCCCATGACTGTCACATCCACCATAACTCGCCGAGCCGGCAAACTCACACGTGCAATGCCAGGGTTCGGGCTTCATGCCGTGGGGTTTGGAGAACTGCCAAAGCACTAAACCCTGAAACCCCAAAGTTTGAAAGCCCTCAACCCTAAAACCCTGAACCCTTTAAGCTTTGAGCTGCAAACTCAAGACCGCAACTCATCAGGCAGCGCGACCTAGCCGAGCTTCAGCAGACGATTGAGCAGGCGGCCCAGGCCCAGCGGTTTGGATGTGGAGGTTGGGTTTAGGGTTGGGGGTTAAGGGTTTGGGGTTTAGGATTTAGGGTTTAGGGTTGCAGGCAGGGGGGACAAGGGACTTGGAGTGAGAGTGTTGTTTGGGATTCTTGGCTGGGGTTTTCAGGGCGGTGCCGTGTTGGGGCGAACGGGTTTTGGGTTTGGGGTTGTTTGTTTTGGGTTCGATGGGCCTTTCGGATTTATGGCTGTCTGGTTTCTTTAGGGGTTAGGATCCGGAACATGGTGAATGCATTGCTATCGTGGGTTGATTGTCTTCAGTGCATGGACGAGATGTGTCGTGGCACTGGGCCTCCGGAGCTGAGGGGCACGGGGGTTGGGGATCGCCTGGACGTGAACTCCGAAGCAACAGACTGAGTCGCAGTCTTTAAAATACCTAAAAACCCGCAGGCCCTTTGAAACTGAACCCGCAAGAACCGCCCCGAGTCCGAAGCTCTCCGGTGCAGGAGTACGGCAACTTGGAAAGGGCAGGCGAAGCCCTCCGAGCCGAAGTGCAGGCGAAGGGGTTGCCACAGAGTGCTAAAGGATATGCACGTATTTATACACATGCGTCCTGTCCCTCGAAGACGCTCGCAGATCTACTTTCAGTGGGAAAGTGAAGTGATATGTACATGTATACCTGCATGTATATATACATACATACATACATAAATGTGTCTGTACAGGTCTATGTATAGCTTTTTTGTCTATGTCCATGCCTATGTCTGTGTATACGTTTATGTTTCCGTACAGATGTATATGTATTGCACATATTGACATATGTATATATATATATATACATACACGCATACATACATATCTTTCTCTATGTATGTATGTATGTATGTATGTATGTACGTTCACGCATTGGTTAGGCATATACATGTCTACAAGTATAAAGTAACACATGAACACGAGTAGACATATGAACATATGGGTTCCATGAGGTACATACATGCATATGTGCACACAAATGCAAATTACATTCACATATCTACAAACATACATACGTATATATATATATATATATATATATGTATATGTATGTCTGTGTGAATATATACATATATGTATATGTATATATAACAATCAATCAATGAATAAGTATAAGCAAATAACTAAATAAATACCTATATATACCTATCTATATACATATATATATATATATATAAACGCATAACATGCTAGTCCCAATCTAACCCTGTATCTAATCCCCAATGCAGGGTCTTAGGTTAGACACGGCGATTACAAACTGTGGGCATCCGGACACATACCAGTCGTCCTAAAATCATTCTGGCGATGATGCTTCATTTTTTTCGAACAGGGCTTTACCTTCGCAATCTGATGTGTGCATATACATGCAAAAGCATGTGTGTGTGCATACCTCTGTATATCTACACACATACGTACATAGTTTATGTTGAGCAGGATTCATGTGTGCATATACATATACAAAAACATATTCCACTTACTCAGATACATGCATGCATACATGCATGCATGCATGCATATGTACGATGGGGTTGCCTACAGGGACGATCGGTCGCCGACCCAACGCCCGGGGGTGTGTGTGGGGTGGAAAACAGACTCACGATGCCCGGATCCAGTGCGTGGCATTGCGATTGCAAATTCATTGTTTGATGGGTTCGAATCTGGGGAACTCGGGTTCATTCAGGTAGGAGTAGGAGATTCTGGGAGCTTTCGGTGTTTACTGTGATTGCGCAGGGTTTCTTGTCGCGGCTTTGAATTCATCTCAGTAGTAGATTCATGTGTCAGGTGGGCCATGTTGAGAAGCAGCAGAACTTGGCAAGCATCCTCCAGTTACAGAGGACGGCTAAACGCCGGGTGCTGAGCCTTCCAAATCGTGATGTCTAGGTCGGCCAGCAAGTTGGACGCAGTGATGGCCCACTATATCTCTTGAAGTCATGCAATTGCAAATCCTCTGTGCTCAGGCCTGGACGAGTTATCAATGGGAACCGGCCCGCCTCCGCCGGCCAACATTCAGCAGCAGCACGATGAGCAATTGCAGTCTCTCGCCGTGCATTTAGTGCATCTGAATGGTTGCAAGGGCCCAGGGCGGACGTCGTGACACCTTGCAAAGCAAGGCTCCGTGGGAAGGTCGAGGAAATCGTGAGGCCGATTGCGCGAAACACGACGAGACTTGCGCCTTGTTCCTGCTACCTGTGTGCTGGTGGAGTGCAGTGTTTTGCAGGGTGCTTGGTGAAGCCTATCCTCAGCTCGAAAATCTGTGGACTGCCTTCCACACGTGGATGGAAGTCCCAAGCTGAGGCAGTCTGCCACTTGTTTTCGAGCTGGGTTGGGTCGTGTGCTGGTCCACATGTTGTTTCAATAAAGAGACTATGTGTGCATACTCTACAACCAGACATCTACACACAAAAGTCAAATGATAAAGATATTTAAAGACATGTACTTGAATATTGAATTATGCTTAGGATTATGGTTTTAATTGTGTCATGCATCTTTTACGCATCACGTATAACGTGTTGCCTATTGTGTATCAGATATTTCAACCTATATTGTTATTTTCGATGCATTACACTGTATTTTACATCTTTCCTGATGAATGTGTGTTCTTTAATTTCACACTCACGTTTACTGCATAGTTCGAATTTATATTTAATAAACATACATGTGTATATTACGAACATTATGCATATGTAGGCATTTTGTACAGGTTGTATGTATTGTATAGACTGTACATCTTACACAGTATTTGTTGTACATTAAAGATGATAACACATGTACTTTGTAGTGCTTAGTCTCAGTATCTGACATGTAATGCGAGTTATACATATAGTTATAGATATATGCACACAGATATAGGGTATGTGGTCTATGTGTTAGGTACATCTTGTTTCACATACAGCTTACATGCTTCGTACTAATTTTGTACTTCGTTTTATATTTTGCATCTTACCTTTTTTGAGTTCGATGTTATATGTTATGCTACATCACATACCTTGGGTGTTCCGGCCTGATATTCGTTCCATCTCTACTACACACGTATGTATACTTGTACAAAGCTTTGTAACTATTCTGAGTTAGGTTTGTTATACTACTTGTTATTTGCGATGTAGTTTATTATTTAGTATTTACAAACTTTTATACGGTGAATCTCTCATATAGTAGATAAAGTATGTGGCATACAGTTTACAGAGCATAGAATATAGTCTATGTCATATCTTGTAGCACATAGTATGTGTTACGTGGTTTACATTTTTCGTATATGTTACTTGTATACGAATATATGAATACCTACATATGTACAGAAAATGTATACTATCTAGTGTATCATATGTTGTATGTTATAAAATAATAAAAAATATTGTAGTATAATACAGTGAATCATAGTAATCAGTAAATACAAATATACCAATGTGCATGTGTACTATACCTCAAAAGATGTAGCATTAGGATGTGTTCTGCTATACCTCGTTTGTATGTCCAACACACTAGATATTATGTAGTGCACGTTATGCTATATGCTGTACATCATTTGTTTTGCATTACATACTGTATACATATATGCATGTATGTGACTTGGTACATTACGTTCCAAGTTGACTTCTACATTGATGCTATATTGTGTATATCAGGCTTTCATATTTTATTGCAACATTCGGAGCTTTTGTTTAAGCGTCGTATGTTGGGTTTTGTGTTCTGATACTTCAGGCTTTTTTTGCTTTACTTTTATGTACCTAAGACTGCTGTGTACTGTATTTACTGTACCATGTTGTATTACATTATGTTGTGTCATATTGTATTATGTTGCATTTTCTACTATACCATATCGTGTGATATGATTGGATGTGATATGACATACTACGATGTGATGTGACATTGTTTCAGGATTTGTCATATGATAGGGTATTGGGTCATATGTTATGACATGATATGGTGCAGTAACATATGACATTATGCGTCATCATCATATGTGATACGATATGATTTGATGTCATATGTTATGATCTGGTTTGATGTTTTTTCATGACGTTTTATTACTGTATTTTACATTGTGCCTTCGTAGACCGGTGCCATCGAAGTCACAGGGTGAATTCAGCGTGCGAAAGAATCCAACCAGTTGTGTGAGGACGGCCAACCGCATTAAGTTGCCCCTACTGTAGCTGAAACAGGATGGCTTCAGAAGCGACCACCATGAGGAATTGGAGACCAAGATTGCTGGATGTACAGATCCCAGACCGTCGCCAAAGGCCCGTGTTCCAAAGCGCCTCCTCTCGAAGCCCTCGCATATCTGACAAGTCCAAGTCACGCCAAGTTCATGGATACACTGTGATTCAGAGAGAGTCACAGGTGACATTAGTGCACAAAGAGCCTCCAACGGGAATCTCACCTGTAGGCACGTCTCACCATGCAGGAGTTACTTGGGGCAGAATGCGCAATATGCGTGGACCTCGTCGAAAAAGTTGCACACAGCTTCTTCACATGGAGCATCACAGCGTTGCCTCCCACTCCAACTTGCACTTGCCGCGCGACCGGTGCTTGTGAGCGAGTGAGGTCAGCAGACTGCAATCGTTAAGAGTACCATAGACCCGAACCGGTCTCAATGTTCAAAACTCAAACAGCGCCTGGGTACTTTTCGCACTCAAGCCGTATCCGTGCAACTAGCAGGCTGCCCAGCGACTAACCTGGCTGATCCGGTTGAGCCCGTGCTGATGCTGTCTGTGTGTTGCTGCCTTCGTCGTCGTTCTGTCAGTTCCTGGCCGGGATGCTCATTGCGCAGGCCAGTGGCTCATACTGCCAGAAGGATAAACAGCAGAGGGCTTTAGTTCAGATCTAAGAGACAGATATAGTCTTGCCATCCTTGGCCCGGAAACGCAACAAGCCAAGGATGGACACCTCCTTCCATCCTGCCACGGAAACTTCATAGCAAGCCATGTCTAATGATTTTCCGAGTGGCCGCCTGCCGGCGCTTCGACGAAGGACAGGGCTCCGGTCCGATTTTTGATCCATTTTGCGATATGTTGCGATGTGTGGAGGAGAACGAAATCTTCCGATGACATGGGCACGGCTCTGGAGTCCGGTGGGTCGAGTCCATCTGAGCCAACAGCCAAAGAGGACGCAGAGGGAGCCGAAAACACGGCTGCGTCACCCGGCATCCAAACCGAAAGCGAGGAGGTGCGCCCTGCGAGTACGGTTTCTTGCCTCACAAGATCGAATCCTTGCTGATTTCCAGGCTTCCAGTGTGATCCTCGACTCCGTCGGTGACGATCTCGAAGACGATCCAGGCGGGGATCGCTTTCCGGGAGTGCCTCTGCCTCGGCTCTCTTTCGCCTGAAGGAGCTCTTGTCTTGGACGAGGAGCCCTTCCAGGGTGAAATGCTTCGAGTTCTGCGACAAATTGCATCAACACAAACCCCCACCCAGAAACCATTCTTCAAGATCCAATTCCATCCCGTTGGGAGGGATTGGACGTCTTCGTGCAGCGCAGCAGCGAGGCCTGGGCGAGAGCCTTAGCCAAGCATTGACTGCGGACTCCCTTCGACTTAATCGCAGCCTCACGCCGGTGATCGCGGATCTGGCAAAGAGTAAGGTCATTACTCCTCTGTCTGGGCACTTGCGCTTGGAGTTGAGGCCAAGACGTGTTTGGGTTCTCAGCTCCAGTCGGACTGCTGTCTTTGTCAGACCAATGCCGGCGGATGGCCTGCCCCCTGCAGGCGGGCCGCCGTTCACCGCTCAGATCACATTGGCCATGCTTCTCAAACCTAGATCGTTCTGCACGCCGTTACCTCCTGCGGCTGTGGAAGGAAGTGGTGAGGCAACATGCATCAGACAGTGAATTCAAGGTATCGCACATGGGATCTAGATACATGCCATGTAGAAAGGAGGCGACTCTGTAGTCGCACCATGTCGTACCAGCTACGATGCAACTTGCGTTGAACTGAAGCCGGAGGCAGTGATGGTGTCATCTGGCGTCTGGATGACAAGGCTCACAGTAGCAACATGTCGAGCTGAGACAGGAGCCAAATAAGAGCGGCAGTCGTTGATTTGAATTGCATCCTGAATTCAGGAAACGGCCATGTCTGTCTAAATCCTTCTCAATGTATCCGTCCGAAAATTAAGACTATCATGATGTTCGGAACATGCGGGCCATCCCAGCTAAGAGAACGAGTAACAGGAAGCACGCGGACTGCTGGAACATGGCAAAACAGTGAAAACAATGCTGCGCACAACAGCACAGGTCAACCTCGGAAGAGCATGATCGTGATCACTGAATAGTTACATCAAGCCATCTAGCAGGAACATTCCCAGAATAACGTGTTCACAGCACCACAGCCGCCAGTGCTGGTGGTGATGGTGATGGCATGTGATGGTGGTGGTGGTGGTGGTGCTGCTGCTGCGTCCTGCGCCGGATGCTTCTGGAAAACACATGTCAACTTCAAGTGCAATGCCAATACGTACAACCGTCAATAATACAAAGGCTTGACGCAATGCTCATTTGCAAGTAGTAGCTTCAGTTGCCAGCGTCATCGCAATGAGCGCGATGCCGATGGCAATGTCGACGACGGCGACGATGATGACGATGACGGTTGTCATGATGTCGATGGTGAAAGTCATGATGGTCATGCTGGCGGTGATGAAGACGATGGTGATGGTCATCAAGATGACCGACCATGGAGCTGGTGACGATGATGACGAGGCTGGTGCCCCGACCAGTAACAGCACGTACTCGTAGGGCTTGTCTTCACGTAGAATCCCTCGCTGTATGTGTTTGTGCAGAAGTGAATCTGCCGGTGCAGGTTCTGGCTCAGGGCACGGAGGCCTCGCTGCAGCTCTCGCACATTAACATGGTGCTTCTCTGGCTTTTCTCATTAAGCGCTTCGACAGCTAGGTACTGTAAAGACTTCTTCGCAGCCTGCAGACAGTTTTTATTGAAATCCCAGTGAAGCACTCGGACGACGAACTCCAACGAATGTGTCGAGTGTATCCGCAAGTGCAGGAACAGTGGGAGGACGGCGAGGAGCCTTGCAAGCTCACGGCTTCGGGGGGGGACAGGAAAGCTCGCTACATGGACAGTCACACCTAAGCTTTAAACCACAATTTCCCAAACTTGCATGATGGCACTCAGCCTTGTCAGGGATCTTCTTTTCCTCGAACGTCTCTTTCATTGCAAGTGACGTGTCTGTTTCCTTGCAAGCGACACAGCGGATTCGTGGCTGGTGTTTTCAGGTCTCTTGCTTGGGCCGTAGTGTCTGAGGTTTTTGGGTTTCCTATAACAGATCTTGTGCTAAACATCAAGCCCTGTGCCAGGATTTTCCGTCGGCAGCGCGCCAAGACAACGAGGGCCTCGCCCGCTCCGTATCAAGGAGGAGCACCCCAAGATGATTACCATAATAAGGTAGTATAAAAGGGGTGCTATAATGAGGTGCTACAATAAGGTACTCTACTACGGTACTACAATAGGGGAGTTTTAATAGGGTACCATCATAATAGGCTACTATAGTAGGGTACGATAACAGGAAACTCTAACCGGTACTATGAAGCTAAGTATAGGTTATCAGCCGTAGCCTACTCGAGCCATACCCAGGTTGCTCCGTCAAATCCTGCAGGTCATACCGGAACATGAGCAACAACCCCGTACCGGTGAGCACAGGTATCTCCGATATCTCGATGCCAACTGAGGACGGAAATGATGAGGACGGTTCAGTCCCCAGACGTGAGAACGGCCAGCCGATGGCCATTGTTGATGCAAACGCCGGAGTCCCTACCCCCACCGAAGTGGCACCATATTCACCTACGGATTCGTTATTGAGGGAAAGGATAATGACTCCTACCGAACTTCCTTTGGAACTTGCATCGCCAGCATCTTTGACTCACGTCTCTCCGGTAGGAATACCTGGACCATTGGCCGAAGTTAGCGGCCTCTCCCTCGTACAATGTTCACCTTGCTCAACAACACATTGACGCCAGGCGATTGATCATTAATCAGGACACTCCAATGGTCGCTCTCGCTGCAGAGGCTCGTCATAGTGAAATCATCGGCAGTTTGAGCGCAGAGCATCAGGAGCAGCTCAAGTACATGTACAATGAGGGCCTTTCAGAAGTTTCAAGGTTGAGGGCAGAATTGAATCGTGCAAATGCCACTCTCAGCGCTCAGAGGGCTGAGATGGGTCAGGGTGAAGTGAAGTTTCATCAGACCGAGAATGTGAAGGACAATGCGTTGATTGAGGCTAGCATTCATGCTAGCCAAGCTAGGAGAGCTAATGAAGAGCTTGAGGTACAGCGCAATCACATTCGCGAAGTGGAAACTTCTGCCCTACGAGCCGAACAAGCAAGGCAAAATGAAGTATCCTCTTTGGGCTGTAGGGTCGAAGAGATGATGAAGCAACTGCAAGCCAAGAGTCAGCAGGCGCGTTCCCTTATGGAGCAGAATGACTATTTGGCTTCAAGGGTTAGAGAGTTTGAAGCAAAAGAAGCCGCAAGGCAACTTACGGAGCCTCCTCCTGGATTATCTCGACACCATAACATCGGTAGTCCCGCACCTGAAGGTCAACCTGAGTTTACTCCGACTGAACGGATGTCGAATGCAGGTACCTCCCCAAAGGGTAATGGACCTCCCGGTGATGACAACAGCCCCGATGGCGATGGTGATGATCGAAGGGGTCGTGGTCGTAAGTCTAAAAAGGACAAGAAATCCAAGAAGAAGTCCAAGAGAGGGAGAAGACGGGATCCTTCCTCTTCCCCATCTAGCTCCAGTGATTCAAGCTCATCAAGCTCATCGTCATAGCGCATTGATAAGAAGACCATGAAGAAGCTTCTTAAGCGCATGGCGGAAGCCACTGCCCACCAAGGCGACAAAGAGAAAGATGACAAGCCTAAGGTCAAAGAGTCTGACAAAGTAACCTTCCCGAAATTCCCACAGCCAGAAAGCTATAGGAACTGGAGGTCGCGGGTCCGAGAGGCCGTCGTTGCCGCCTCTGATCGTCCGGATGATGCCTTCACTTGGTTGTCAAGGGTGTGGGAAAAGGACGTCAAGGAAGAGGACTTGCGCGACCCGGAAGGGTTCGTCACGCTCGATGCCAAGGTACTTTCGGGCGTCACCAACATTTTGGAGGGTGCGTTTGCTAGGCAGATTGACACGTTCAAGGAAAGGGAAGCTAATGCCGGAAGGCTTGTGCGAGGACGTCAGGTTTTGTTCAAATTGGACAACTTCTTCTCTACGAATGCACAGCATGGTTCGGTCTATGAGTTTGAGGACCTTCTATCTGTGAAGATGGTTAATGAGAAGCTTGAGACGTTCATGCACAATTGGGAGACTGTTCTTTCGGGGATTCAGAAGACCCCTGACGAGTCATTCCTTGAACCCTATTCCACAGACAGATCAAACGTTTCAAAGATTTGTCGCACGATATCAACATCTACGAGCGTGCTACCGAAGGGCAGCCTGAGAAGACCTACAAGTCTTTGTATGATGCGGCTACGAACTACTTGAGTCGCAAGCGCCTCGAGCGCAACCGGGAACGGATTGCCAAGCAATACGGTGCAGACGGCAAACCATCTGCCCCCGCTCCCAAGAAAAAGATTGTCCCTAAGGGATTTTGTTTTGACTTCGTCAACAATGGTAAGTGTTCAAAGGGCGACAAGTGCAAGTACAAGCACGAGGTCCCTGAGAGACGTTCCCGAACACCGTCGAAAGGAGCTGGGAGAGGCCGATCCCCCTCAGCGGGGGGCAAACCTCGCGAGTGCAGGTTCTGGAAATCCGGCCGATGCAACAAGGGGGACGCTTGCCAGTTCCTCCACACCGGAAAACCCAGCGCCCCGGCTGCGTCGGGCGGCTCCCAGGGAGGCAAGCCGGGAAGTACAGGCAGTAAGGGGAAAGGGAACAAGCCCCGTCATAAATCGAGATCCAACTCGAGAGGCTCTAAAGGCTCTAAAGGCTCGAAGGGCAGCAAGGGTTCGGATAAGCGAAAGGGGCCGAAGCCTCCAGAGGTACCCGCTGCCGTGTGCCTCCTAGGGGCATTATGTCATCATGGCGTTGGTAGCTAGGCCAGTCGGCAAGAAAGAATTGTCCGAAAATCCGGAGGCGCAGAAATCCCTTGACGCCGAGTGGGACAAGCTCATGGCTAAGCGTGCGTGGGACATGGACAGCCCTAAAGAGTGGTCTGAGGTCGGAAGCCGTCAGACAGAAACGAAAAGTTCATGTCGGGCGTGTGTTCGAGATATGCGTCGAAAAGGGGAGTGAATTGCCCAAAGGAAATCCCTTGCGGAAGTTTAAGGGCCGAACCGTTTTCCAAGGGAACAATGTGCAGGACGAGAGCAGCAATGCCGCCCTATTCTCAGAACTGGGGTCGAGTGCTGCCACCGTGGAAGCTGGAAAGGTGTTAGATGCATATGGGTCGCAACCTGGCTTCGCCTGTAACAGGCTGACGGCAAGCAGGCTTACACCCAGACGACTTTGAAGGGTGCCGAAACCTGGGTTCGATTGCCTAGGGAGCGCTGGCCTAAATCTTGGGTCGGCAAGTTTAAGGATCCGGTCGTCAGATTGTATTTAGCACTATATGGCCATCCTGATTCGGGGGGTTTCTGGGAGAAACATTGTGAACAAAGATTGAAACAAGTGGGATGGGATCTGCTGTTTCCTTCGTCATGGCCTTCGGTATTCTTCCATTCCAAACTGCGGTTGCTTCTTGCGGTCTATGTCGACGACTTCAAGATGGCAGGACCTGCAAAGAACATGCAAGAAGGCTGGAGACTTATTGGGTCTAAGATTGACATGGGTAGTCCAGCTCCGTTAGGAAGATACCTTGGTTGTGAACATGTCGAGAATGAAAAAGCAAACTCGGCTGGGAACGGCAGACCACCCCTTTGCACATGTATATGACAACACGTTGCCTGACCCCGCGGCTAAGCCATCAGTGCCTGCTACGTCACAGGACTACACGGAGTATTATCCCGAAGAAGGTGTAATTGTACGACATCATCTTCAACCACGAAAGGCCAAGTACTCCGTGAGCCCTGCGGAAGCAGAAGCCCTCAATATTGGCGACCTCAGGTTTACTGATCGTCATTCCCTCGATAAGTCGTTTGAGGATGAAGTCTGGGATGATGGTAGCCGGGGGGACAGAGTGCCGGGCTTTTGGACGGGAAGCACCTTCCTTTTTGATCGTAGCGTTGACCGGCATCGAGCTGCAGCCGCGGTCAAACGCATCAGGGATAAGAACGTTGCAAAGAAAGAAGCCAGGAAACAGGCCTTCTATGATATAAGTCAACTGTCTGATGGAAAAGGGTGCATGACCAAACCCGTCAACGTCATCGAGTATGACATGAAATCCTTTCTTGAACAAGCCGTTCAAAAATACCGGGACCTTGCGGGACCTAAGTATCACACCCTTAAAGCAGCCTCTACTCCTTTCGTCGACGACAAGATCGCTCGGCCGGTGGATGATGAAGCCGAGGCCAAGGGTGAACTGGCACCAATCGCCAGCAGAGTGCTAATGAAGCTTTTGTTTGCGGCTCGCATGGCCAGATACGATCTTCTGCGTGCAGTGCAGGGTCTAGCTAGTCGGGTTACCAAATGGTCTGCTGATTGTGATCGGGCATTACACCGACTCATGTGTTACGTGAATGCCACTTTGGACCTCGAATTGAGAGGTTTCATCGGTGACCCGATCGACCAATGCAAGCTGTGGTTGTTTGCAGATGCCGATCATGCAGGCGAACATGATAGCAAAAGCACTTCTGGATGTTTTGAAGCTATCGTAGGACCCAATACTTATTTTCCTTTGGCAGCCTACAGCAAAAAGCAAACCTCTATCTCCATCAGTTCTACTGAGTCCGAGGTCGTTTGCGCGAACATAGCTCTGAGGACTGTCGGTTTACCTTCATCCGCACTATGGAGTGTGCTCCTTAAGGCGGGGGGAGATACAGTCGAATCTCAGACCAAGGATTGCGCACCCCGGAAGGGAGATGCCTGCCTAAGCAAGTTTGATGATCAGGATACTGCTAAGCAGATTCCCAAGGCAGGTCGCCACGAGCTTATCGATGGTAGGATTGCAGTATTGTCTGTCAACAACAAAAGCATCCCTGAACCCGTTGAGTTAATGTCACACCCTTTGAGGGATATTTGGCTGCTCCGGGGGGATAAGTGGTCCAGAACCGAAGAGGCCGTAGCATGGGAAGAGCTCGAAGAACCCTCCTACATGCTGCCCAAAGACGTTAAAGCCACTCTTTGTCTATATAGACGATCAAGTTTGGAGTATCGTCGCTCTGCGGAAGCAGAAGCCGAGTTACAGTATGAGGCTTTCAAGCTCCGTAATGGGCTGGGTGACTTTGACTACAATGACGACTCACAGTTCAAGCCTGACAATTC